TATATATATATATATTGAGTCAAGTTTTTTGAAATGTGTTCAATGGCAAATTTTAATCTTTTTTCTCCTCTCAGTGAGTTAAACAGAAATAAATAAATAAATAATAGTGTGTTTCATATACTAAAGTGAAAGGAGTGAATAATGTGGTGTATATAAAATGCATTTTTCTGACTTATTGTCTTGTTTGGTAGTTGAATTTTAATAATGATATAAATTTTATTTTATAATTTATTTCTTGAATAAAAGATATGCTATAAAAGCCTTTTTCAAGTTTACAAAAATGTTTAAGATTTTTAAAGTCTTTCGAATTTGTAACTGAAACAGTTACCTGTGGGAAAAGGGGAAAAACATTAATTTGTCAGTTTATTAGAAAAAGAATGTACCAAAATTAGTAAATTGTCTACATAATGTATATAAAAAAAATTTCTTCAGGAAAATATGAATTTTGATGAGGAGCTAAATAAAATTGACTACCCAGCTTATCTGTGAAATGGAACAGAAAACATAGGATTTGAAGTTTTTTCTTATATTGGATAAGATGGTTGTAGCTGTAGACACTTGCTCCATAAGAGCAATTGACTTTTTATTTAAGAGTTACTTTGTTTTCAATGTTATGTACAGTAAATCAAGCTCTACGTTCTTCTCGTTTTTTCAGTTTATGCTCTATGAGCTGAAAAAGGTGCGTCTAAAAACACTATAGAAAACTTAAATATTCTACTATCTAGAGTGAACACATAAAGAATATATGTATAAGGAAACATATACAATAAAATATATTTTTTTTCCTGTAATTTAGTTGTCTTATTCACTAATGCATTCTCACATTTTATGTTAAAAGTCTTAACCCTTTGCAGTTGCATCATAGCTTTCAGGCACCAATTCTTTTTGCAAGGATGCTAACTGCTCCACTTCGAGAAGACCTTTTATAAAGTGGTAAAGAATTAAAAGCTGAGACCTGCATAATTTTGCTGACATGAAAGTACATATTTTCGATAATTATCATTGATGACTTAATGTGATATTTAAAGCTGTGTTACACATGCATATAACGTTATATTAAAGCAAGTTAAATATTATGTTTTTTCTTACAATTAAATTGCATTCAGTTCATTTGTAAATTACGATTAAAACAGGGAAAACCTGACATTGTCAGGGAGTTTTATTTTAACTTCAAGAAGCAGGGAATAGTCAGGGCAAGTTGCAATTTTTTTCACAAAATCCTGGAGAAATTCTACTTTATACCTGGAAAATAACCAGTCTTAAAATTATCAGTAACAGTTGTCAGTTATTGAGAACCGAGTTAAACAATTCTAAATCTATTACAATTATTTGCTGCAAAAATTTTGCATTTTAGTTAAACTGAAATCTTCCCATCCTCATTTAATTACATTATTTATTTTTTGCACAGAAAATCTGATATTTGCCATTACAAATAAAATAATCAAATTTTTCTGATGAAAAATTGAATGATATAGATAAAATATGGTATTAATTTTAGTTGTAATTTACCTGAAAAAGTTAGGGAATTTTTTTCTGAAATTAAGTGGGTATCTTGTTAAAAAGACGTTATGCTCTTGCCAATATGTAAAAATATTTTTCTAAGCATATTTTAGCAAATCTTTTATAAATAAAGTAATAACTAGAAAAGTTACCATCCAAATAAATCGGAATGTAGAAGAATTATCAAAGTTATGTTCCCAAGAACTAGGATGGAAATGGTTAAGTACGATTTAACGTACTAATGAAGTCACTTTAGCTACTATTTGAATACCTAAATAAAATTAAAAATTATGTAAACTGTTAATAAAAAGTTAGTTTCATCACAAAAAGTTAAAAATCCTTAAAAATTTCGTACCGAAGTCTGTCACAAAGCTTTCGATCTCTAAAGAGTATAATCTTGCAATTGTATTCAGCATAATGTTAAATACAGATGGATTACTAAGCTTTCACTTTTTCTTATCAACTCTCACTGTTTAGTTTCCAAATTAAATAAAACTTATTAATTACCGAACAAACCATTGATAAAAGTTAAAAGAAATGAATGTTGATAAATTATTTCCATTACACATGCTAAAAATATTTTTTCTTTTCCTCTTACTGACATTAAAAGATTCAGTGAATAGTCAGAAAAGGATCAATTTAATTCAAATGTGATTTAAATACGGTGTGATTTGATACAGCAAAAGTGTTTTTAAGTATTTTTATAGGATTTAGTTTTACGAACCTAAATTTGGTAAAACTTCTAAAGAGAGGAGCATTTGTAATTTTTTACTATGAAATTATAGCTGATTCTTTAATGCTTTGAATTAAATGCTGATAAAATGTTGAAGAACACTATGTATAAATTTTAAATGTTAACAAAGCAAAGATCTTTTTTCCTACACAACTACAACTTACACTCTCTTACAAAAAAGTAATGTTCCTCAGTGAAAAGAATTTAAGTTTTTTGATTCTTTGATTGTGAAAGAATTTTAACCTTCAGAACAGAGAAGCATCACAGAGTATATATCGGTACGATATGATAGTTTTAATTTACTTCGCACTAGGGCTGCACAATGGGCAAATGGTGACAGTAAGAGAAACATTCCTAAGGATGATCCAGAGACATACATACGTCATATCCCGTTTTACAGGGAGGACACATTCACACACCATCCATCCATCTTGCACCAGACAGATTTCGCGCCCATTTGGAGTCGTCTGCCGGCAGAGATCAAACTCACGACGTCATAGCCCCTCCGAATATATAAATAATATTCTAACACAACTTTCATTCGAGGACAATACAAAACGCAATTCAATTAATTTTAAAATTCGAAAAGGTTTTGTGATTTTATAACCGGAAATGCCACAATTCAGAAATAGTTACGTCACCACATTTCTTCTAAGGCTACTACAACTTAAAGTAGAGGCTCCCAAACTTTTGTGCCACGGAACACAGGATGGTCATAATTGCAGGTCCTTTGGTTGTTCTCATTTAATTAGTCCTTTGATAGTAATCTTGTGGCTTTTCGAAAGAAAAAAAGAGTAAGGTAGTAATAATAAGGCTTTAAATGTATGTAAGAAATTGAGTAACCTGGGTTGTCCTAAAAGGAAAAGGTTTGCAAAGCTGAGTTTTCGCAGTAGCTATAAAGCAAATATTGCTGGAAAATAAATATCGAAAAAATTATGTAATATAGATACATCAAGTTCTGTTCTACAATTCAAAAAGTTACTTCCAGAACACCAAGCTCACCTTTCGCTCAAACAAATTCTCAATACTTTCAAATTTAAGTACAAGTTTCTCTTACCTTTTCTCCTAGATTTATTATTACTTACAATATTATAATTAATGCTTTTTATCGCATAAAATTATTGAGAGTTTTTTTAGTATGGTATTTAGAAACTGTGTTTATATTCTCGCCACTTCCAAAATTTATGTTTCCTTGTCTTAATGATATGAAGCAATAAGTATTATAATAAATACTATGCCACAGACAAATATAACTGGAATATCGACAATTTAAATTCTCGCGTGATTTGATGGTGGCGTGGTTTGGAAAAGTTTGGGAATTCAGAAATAAACTATCTCTCTATATTAAAAAATCGCATAAGCAAGTTCGAAGATAGAGTAAAAAGCATTAAAATTTGATAATTTGTTAGAGAATTATTAAGTAACTTTGTAGTTAAAAATGCACTGTGGGCCGCTTTGCAGTCTGTAGGATTGCAACTACAGAATTGAAATTTGATGTGTTAAAGTAAGCCATTTTTTCACACAATTTACAAGAGTTTTTTTTTTTTTAATTTCAATTTGTTTAGAAGTTATTTCTATTGTAATTTAAAATTTTTTTGCTTTAAATTATGATTATATTTATCCTATTTTAAGAAAATTTCTCTCTCTTAATTTCTTCATTTATTAACTCCATGTTCGAGTAACTGTCAAAAGAGAAACAAAAATAGAGATGAGATTAGACTAAATATAAATTTGAACTTTTAAATTAAAAAAAATTTAAAGAAAAAAACTTAATTCAAGAGTAATAAAAACCATTTTGAATTTGAATTGTTATAATGATACAAGCAAGTTGTGAGAGGCATACAGATATTTGCAGATATTTTGTGTGTGTGTATTCTCTTTAAGAATTGTCTGTTAAAATTTTGAGTAACAAAAATTAAACTAAACATACACACAAATTTACAAATATATTATCATTTACTTCTGTTATAAAAAGTTTAAAAGCATTTCGTAAATTAACAACATGTAAATTTGAGGACTAATAGAACCCCCAACAGTTCTGTCCTGTCCTAGAGCTCCCGGATTTCTAAATCTGGACCTGGATTATCGTAACATATCACTAACGAATAAAATTACTTTTCATTTATTTCTTCCTATTTTATAACACATTCTGTATTGTATGTTGTTGTTGTTTTTTTTCAAAAATAATTTGAGTAGACATTAAAAGTTACCATTCGAAAATTTAAAATTTTTTATGTCTTAATAATTAGCAATCACACTCTGTAATGAATTTAAGAAATTATGTAAAATTATTGTACTATGTAGCTTATAATAATTTGTAAAAAGTGATCATGAGATTTTCTGAACTGAAAATTTAAAAGAATAGGCAATTTTTTACTTCTTTATTAGAGGCGCACTTAAAAAAATATGATTCGTAACACTAAGCAAATAATTTTAGTTTTCTACGGCAGAATTATTTTAAATTAACGTTTCCTTTTTAAAAGAGTTTTCGAAAAGCGTCTGTCTGTTTTAAAGAACCAAATTTTTTTTTTTAAAAAAAAAAGGGGTGATTTAAAAATAAAAGAAAAAGAAAACATACCCACGTAATTTACGAAAATAGCGACCACAACTTCACATGCAATTAGGTTCAACTTGATTCACAAGAGCCAGGAAAATAATAAGTTTTTTTTGAAGAGGTTTAAAAGAATATTTGAATTTTTAATATTGTAATCTATAAAAAGATAGACAGACATAAACATGACCTTCATTGTCGAACGTTGATCTTTATTATCAAATTTCCCTAACTGATTACCTTCACGCTTTTATCTCACTCTAAAGATGAGTGCTAGTTTTTCACATGCTTTTAGGAAAATCGCTTTGCTCAAAATGAAAAAATCATTTCGAAACTTTAGGAGAATGACTTAATGGCTATATTACACGAGAGAAAATGTGTGTAACTGCAAGTGTAACTGCAAGTGTAAGTGCAACTGTAAGTGAAATTTCTCCAAAAATTGCTCGTGTGATATAGAAATCACGGTTGCACGAAATATCTGCAACCGTTCAGGCAATTTCTTTCATGAACCAATCAGAGCGTTTGCTTTTATGACGTTTCAATTTTATGTGATGACGTATACAAATGTAAATAAAAATGGCGGCGACGTTGGTGAAGAGGATGATCGGATGAAATTTTTTTATAGACGAAACGGAACAGTTTTTTAGTTTAATAATAACATTTTCTTTAAAATCAAAGCATTAAAAATACTTTCACACGATGAAATAACCATCTCAATGCAGTTGATGTACTACCATAACAGGAACCTGCACATCATTTTAGTATCGGTGAGTATAGTACACTATTTTCTAGATAAATTTTCTTTTAAAATATTTATTTATTTTAAGCTAATAAAATTAAAACTTATTNTGCTCGCCAGATTTTATTGCATTATAAAGAAAAGTTATTGAAACTAAATACAACTAAATAAACAACAACAACTAAAACAAATAACAACAACTACTAATAACAATAACTAAATAAACAACAACTAAATTCCATTCGTTTAGCATTGCGTCATATGTTGTTCCTACTAAATCGAAGTAGTTGTGTTTTTTTCATATTATACCCAATTGTCAGGACCTTTAAAAATATACGTTTAGGGAGGCTGGCAAAAGCAAGAAAAATAATTTAGTAATGGAACATGCTATGTGACAAACGGACAGGCACGAGACTGGCTTTTATTTAAAGATGTTTATTATTGTTTTAGATATACTTAATGCGGCTCAATAAAAGAATATGTTTTTTAATTCTGTTTCTTACTTCCCAATTGCACTATATCAAAATTTTAATTAAACCATTGATGACTCTACTAGTTTAGAACCAGACCACTCACCACTCATCCTATTGCTCTGATAAGTGGCATCTTACAAAATGGGGGTAAAAACTGAATAATATTGCTTTCTTTCTCCGAAAGCCCTAGTATTCAGTTTTTAGTTAGAAGAAGTGTGAAAAATAATTATATCGTTTCTGTTGAAAGAAAATAGACGTAATTTATCGGCATAGGCGAAGAAGTTGAAGTTTGAATGTACAAGGATCGTAAAAGATTTGACTTATGAGGAAGAAGAATAAATTAAGTTACTAATTGAAAAAAAAAATAGCAAGAGATAGAATAGAAAAAGAAGCAGAAAATGCTCGACGTCAGTTAGAGATGGAGACGAAGAGTAAAAATTTTGGGGTTGCAAGCCAAGAAAATGAATACTCAGCAGAGTTGTGCAAGGGAATTTGTCAAAAGTATGCCAAAGCTCGAATTTGAAAGTTCTCAAAAAGTGTTTGGAATGCCAATAAATGATATTGGAAAACTCGATTTTGGAAGTACTTCAGAGTCAGGGGGGATATAGTACAAAAGTCACCAAAATCAGAAAAAAGATTCGAGTTACTTGACGACTGACGGAATTGAAAAAGAATTTTGAATTCGTCGCCTATGTGTAAAAAGGACAGACATTTGATGAAAAAATTTCTAAGGAAAATCATACTACAAAAAGTCAGACAAATATACAAAGAATTTCAATGGAAGCAGGATTATTAGCAGAAATTGGCCTTATTAGAAAAATGGTAAAACCATTGGTTGATTCAAGAATGAAGACAACGATTTGTTCTTTTCACAAATTTTATTTATAAACGTGTGTAAGTGTAAGAGAGAAAAAAATATTACAATAAAGTGTTTGGATGTACTCTATTTAATATATTCAACTATTGTTTATTAGTAGTACATCAATAATAAAAATTATTTGCAACTAGAAAATGTTTCAAGCTTCATATTATATTGGGAAATGATAGCACAGTATTCCTGTTATTTAATGTTAGTTTTTTGTGACTGTTTAATCCCTGCTGCTAATTATAATTTTTCGTATTTATTCTTATAAATCGCATTTAATGGAAAAGGTTCATAAGTAAATCCTTACTAATTTTTTTTGAAGAGAAAAAATGCAAAAAATCAAAATTTTTTTTTATTTCACTAATAAATACAAGGAACTAAAACAAAACATAATACAGAAGCTTTAAGTTGAAAATTTTATTTTTTCTTGAGTAGCAAACATTTAGTTTACCATAAGTTTATTATCCCAATTTATCTCGGGGGTCAATGAAAAAAGTTAAATATTAGTCTTTGTATGATAAAGGATAATACAGAGTGATACTTTTCAAACGCCAGTGAAAAGATACGCCATTTTTTTGCACTTTTTTTCTATGTAAATACAATCGCACAAACACGTGTGAATTCAACAATAAAACTCCCAAACAAAACTTAAGAAAATTCCAATCACAGCAGATTTTTTTTTTCTTTTTGCTTCTGACGGAGAAAAAACGTGATAATACAAAACGTACCGACAAATTCTGCAACGCCCGAGTTAACTCGGAATAGAGTGCCTAGAGTAAAAGAGTGTGGACAAGGGAGAAACGATTCCTGATTTGTGGAAAGAAAAACTTTACCGCCGGAGGCGAGAGTGGAAAATTCGCCATTGGAATTACACGGAGTGAAAATTATCTGACTCAAAAAAATTATGTTCTGTATTAATAAATGCATGTAATAAGTTCATTACTTACTTTTTTTCAATAAGAAACTTCACAGTTACAGTAAATGTTAAAATTATGGCTGAAAATTTGGATAGTTGTTAGTTATTAGAATTTATCCTTATTATCACTTACTTGCGTGCATATAAAGTTATGTTTATCTCATTGTAAAGAGAACAAGGTGATGAAATAACTAATGGTTAGATAAGAATAAATGTATTTACTTTTAATGCACATAATTTCTATCTAAATTACTTATAAATTTTAAGATTTGAGCATCTTTTTATCAAAACTTCAGAAGTGCAGAGTTTGGCGATATTACTTTGACATGTTGGCGCGTTACAATGTTCGCGTTACAATGTTACAATGCGCGTTACAAAGTAGCATTTGTTTACTTTTCGTTACCAACTGTATAAAATGCTAGTTTGTTTTAAATTTCAACTAATTATGAAAATTTTTGTTTACAATTTGTTGAAATAAAGAATACCTTTTCAGATGAATATGCGATAAGTTTTTCCTGAAAAAATAATAAATAATAATAAATTATATGATTTGTTTTATTAATTATTATTTCTGAAATAAATGGCATAATCATTATTAATTTTTTTATTTTATTTAAGGCATTTATTAAAAGCTGAAGTCTTTTCATAAGTCTTTTTTTTTTCATTGACATTAATTTTTTAACAATTTCAGATGCTAGAAAATGTTTCTTAAAAAATCTATAATATCATGTGCTTTCCAATCTTAAAGTTTATATTATTGATACTTTAGTATATACTCTTAGAATAACAGAACCTTCAGAATAACACCAAATGAGCGAGTGGCGCCAACTTCGGTGTATCATCTGGCAACCCCCTTTGACAAAAATATGACGGCAGCGCATGCGCTCTTGGATATTGTCATCACTCTTTTCAATACAGGCACTCTAACTCGGAATAATCAGGGAAGCGGTTAAATATCGGACATAATTTATTACATTTTGTTATTAATTCTCATTAAGCCTATTTAACTCTATGAGAAAGTTTAAATGCAACCTTTATTTAGTACCTTATTGATCTATTTATATAATTTAAATTAATTTTAAATAATTGTAAAAAAGGACACTCCCTACCTTTTAAAAACCTAGACAATACATTATTTATGTCTCATAACGTTGACTTGTGGTAAGCAGGCATCTAGTATACCAGGTAGAATCTATGCTAGACATTAATCAGCATTGTTTACCATGTGTTTTGAGAAACCCAACTTTGCAGATTCCTGTTTTCAAATTTAACTTTCAACAGTGAGTGCCTGGATGTGTATATAAAGGTCCAATTGGATACTTGCTTTTCGAGAAGAAGCCTATACCCACGTACAATATAAGTTTGGATGCTAATTAACGCGAATTTAATTAAATACATTTTGCCGTATCGCTCATCCAAATTGCTGAAATATAATCTTTTCTCTTCTACGTCTTTTATTTAACTTATCTTTATATTTAGTTCGTGTATTTTATTGTGGCAGTGACATATTTGTGTTTTGCGTACGTGACAACTTCGATGCAAGTAGTAAGGGCCGCGATCTAAGCTACGGAAGTGACGTCATAGTCAACCGGAGCTTGTTTCCGGTTGACTACCGGCTCCGGTTGGCAACCGGAGCCGGAAGTTGCTTATTTCTGCCCACCTACAAACTGGAAGTTGCTTATTTCTGCCCGCCTGAAACTTCGTCTGCAGCGTCATGGGGAGCTTATTTCTTTTTTTCTAAAGCCTAAAATATGTTTAGTTTCGGTTTCTGTTTTTAATTTAGTTTCGTTTTTTAAATATTATTTAATTTATTAGTTTTTTGAGGGTGGCAACACTTATTATTTTTAATATTAGTTTTTAAGGATGGCAACACTTAGAAACTATGTTATTTGGGGTGAGATATTGTATATTATGAAGTAATGACGTCATATTTTATTGCATAACAAATATCATACACATGCTTTAACTCTAGTGGCGCCATCTATGCGAGAATTTCAGAAATAAAATAACTTTAAATCTATTTTAATATTTAATTCTGTTTTATTATTATTTATTAAATATAATTAAGGCTGAGGATCGAACTCACGCCATCAAAAAGCCTTCGTGGGTCAGTAGTTGGATATCATAACCACTGACTCACGAATGCTTGGTTAGATACGTGTTAACAAGTTAAACTTTTGTATTCTGAACACGTGTATAAATGAAAAAAGGATTTGATATCGATA